CGTTTCATTTCATCCACACCTGCTGCCCCCCTCAAGCCCACAGCCCCACAGTCCCCTAAATGCCATACCCACCAGCCCTTTGGCACAACTCAATTTACACGTGACACACACCAGAAAACAGATATGGAGCGAATTAATGCAGGAAGAGTATTTAAAAAGATATTAAAATATGATGGCTTTATAAGAAATAATTAACTACATTTATTTATACTTTGTTTCTTAAGTTATTTAGCCTAAAATAAAATATATTTAGATATACTGATCATAGATTTTCATGATTAAAATGTTTAAGATATCTTCAACCTTTATTAACACTTCTACAAAATATTAAGACCCTATTTTCTCTTTCAATTTTGATTTCTAAGAAAAGAAGGTACTTTCAATACATTAAATATTTGTTTATTAATAAATTCCATATTCTTTTGTCCCAAAATTTACCTCTAATTTCTCCCTCAAACTTCTCTTCTTAACCCCTCCCTTTCTACCACTTTCCTTAACCAGGTTATCAGGTGTCTTTGAAAACACTTCCTCACCTAAAAACCCAAGCAATATCAATTTGATCAAGTACGTCTTCAACCACCTTCACAAGAAATGCAATTTCAGCCGGCAAGTTCAAAGTATTAACATAAAATAAAAGTATTTTCCCCCACACACACACCCGCTAACCGGTTTGCAGGGCTTCTTCCATGTAATGTTAGCCAACAAAATGATTCCACCCCATCAAAACAGGAATTTTATTCATTAACTTGGCAGTTGCAGAAGCATTTGGCAATTGTACAACATGCATAAATATGCAAACTTATTATGCACCGAAATAGTTGCAGTAAATGCTACTGAGAGGGAGAAATGTTAATAAATATTTAGTCCAACTGTTTTTTAAACAATTCTCATATATGAAAAGCAGCAAAAGTTGTAAACAAGCGCAGAATGTTCAGATAAAGTATTAAAATATTACATTGAAGCGGATGTGTACGAGGGGGGAGGAGTGCCCCTTCATTTGCACAAATGGAGCGTCAGCTTGACAGACAGTTGGGTGGGAAAAGGGGAGAGAGTCCTGCAGGATGCCAGCAGGATTCTGGGGAACATGCTCTGCACAGCTCAACAGTCGTTGGCTGCACTTGCTATCAGAAACACTAGCCTGGGGTTAAGGGGTATTGAAGTTCTAAAGTGTTTTATAGACTTAAGTTGAGAAATTGTTGAAATATTTACAAAGATTTTCTCATGATTTATAATTTGATTTAGTAATTTGAAAAGTTTTTAATCTGTAAGAATTTGAACTGATTTAATTTAATATAAAGACTAGCTAACCAGGGCATTTGTTATTCCACAAACTCCTCTTAAATTTCATTCATATTTTCCACTTTTCTCTACCATTTCCTCTCTCTTCCTCTGGCTGGAGTTCAAACAAATACAAAGTCAAATAGCGCCCAGGTAGATGGTTTGGTTGTTCCCTCGGAAAACACCTGAGACCCCTGATCCTGTGCCAGATTTCTGCTCTTGTTTCTGTTGTTCCTCCGCTTTTCGCACATGCATTTGCCACTCCCTACCCCTGGCTATATATATATTCTATATATGTGTGTATATAGAGCTATTTACACCCAAAAAACAGCCCTCGCAGTCACCTAGATTCTATGCCGCCTGCTACTGCTACCATTTTCATTCTGCGAAAGCAACTTTGTTCTCTCCAAAATGACGCATTGTTCCGTCACATCATATATAGTACATACAGAGTAGTGCCTCCGTCTGGGCTGCGTGTTTAATTTGCTAAATTCAAAATGCGAAAAATAAAGAATGTTGTATGTACATTGTTCGTACATGTTGCAAAAATGTGCTGCATTTAGCGTAAGCGTAAGCAGCAAACAAGAAATTTAAGTGAATTGCGGTCATTGTTCCTGCTTTCCAGCGTTTTTTTTTTATTTATTTTGTATTTCTGTATGTTTTTTTTTATATTATTTGAACACACACATACTGACATACTGGGGCAGTTGGAAATAGAAAACCCTGTTTATAGAGACCATGCATAACATTGAAACTTGGTTTGAGAGCTTCAACCAGATAAGGCTGGATAAGATAAGGACTTTGAAATGCGATTGGCCAGAAGGTTGGGTAAATAATTTATATAATTTTTGGTGTTATATCACTGAAGGGGGTTAACGGAAACGAAGCTAAGGAGAAGGAAGTGTCCATCTCTCAGAGAAACGGTATAAAGACAGTGAGAAAAATTTAACTCTTCTTTAGATTTATTTTATAAAATCTTTTTTTTAAGATTTTTAACTAAAATATATCTGAGGTTAATAAAACTTTATATAATATATTAGTTTGAAGGTCTAAAGATGATATAATTTTGTTGATAACTTTAAAAATCCATATCCTAATAACTAACCATCGAAATGATCTGAAAAATAGGATACAGTCTGATTATTATGTGAGGTTCGTGTTCAGCAAACGTTTTTAAGCTAATCAACATATAAAGAATAATATTTGATATTAACAAACCTCTATATCATATGATATTGCAACATGTTCCCGATGCATTCCCGATTTGTCTTGGGTCAAGGAAAAGGAAGCACTAATTGCAGCCTGCAGATGTTGCCATTATTTTTCCCAACTCTTTGGCCCAATTTCGGCAAATCGCGAGTGGTCGATGGGGATCGGGATCGGGTCCGGAATCGGGATCTTTATCGCGCCATGTCAAGCGTAAGACTCGTAACTCTCCCAGGGAAAAGGAAGAGGAAGGAGAGAGGACTGAAGATGACGTTGGAGGGGAAACAGTTACAGCTGCAGAACAGGACAGGATGAAAGGCCAGAAGAAGAAGAAGTGGAAACGCGAAACGGAATCGCATAAAACGGAAAGTGCAGCAAATTGTGGCAGCTGCAACATTTTGTGTTTCTTCTTCGTATATTTTTTTTATTATTATTTTTTTCCGCTGCAGGTTCTTTTTTCTCTGGTTTTTGTTGCCTCGCTTGGCCGTTGGCCTTTTACCGTTTTTTATTGAAGGCACTGCAACTTGCAACAAAGCAAAAGCAAAAGCAAAAGCAGAAGCAGAACTAATGCAAAAGGAGTGAAGGAGAGAGTAAAGGCAATTGCAGCACGCAAATTGCAGTCGACAAAATAATCAGACTTTAATTGTCGTTCTGCAACAATGTGCAGACTAAGTCCGGGAACCGAACCTCAAGGAACTTAGGGAGGAGCTCAAGGAAATGCAGACCCCCGAGCAATGCCACGCGAAGAAGACTCGCTGCTGCTGTTGTCAACCAAAATCGGGTGAAAAGTTGGTCCATTTCCAAGGCTCGAGGGTGGAATTGTTCGGAAGATATAAAAAACTAAAGCAAATTGCAATCTTGTGGGTGTGGGAAATCATGAAGGTTGCGACTTAAATGGGTGGGAATTTTAACCACAATTACACCCGCTGGCACCAATGACCCTGAGGCAACTTTGGAGTCAAATTTAATGTTTTAAGCAGTGATTAAAATATTTTTAGGAGATGCTGTTTCGGTTTTAAAACAAGAAATGTTATTACAATTATTTTTTGGAGTAAATAAAGTAGTGAAAATTGAATGAAAGTACGTTTTTTATCTCATCAAGCAAGCAAATTTATTTTAATAATTATTTCAACTATTAAAATAGTTTTTAGGTAATCGAAAATTACCTAAATCAGTAAAGACTTAATTGCAGGAACTCTAAAAAATATGTAGTAGTTCGTAAAACATACGAATTTGTTATGAGAATTTTTCCAAAATTAATTTAATGCTTTTAAGTATAGATTCTAATTAAATTATTATTATAAATATTATTTCTACATGGAAAATATTTCATTAAATAAATTATAAATTTTTTTTAACAATTTCCCGTAACCTTTTCCTTCCCTCACAATCCTTAAACCCTACCTTAGCGTATCAATAACAAATTTGCACTCACTTTAACACCTCAAGTGCCCTGCATTTATGCAACTTTCCTTGCTAAGCACACATACATAAAAAAAACAGAAAACTGGTGCAGCTTGCGGCACATCCAGTGCATATAACACCATTATCTTGCTGGCTATAATCATCATCATCATGATGACGACGATGAAAAGGCCCAGAGACCGGAGCCCAATGAACTTTCTGAAGCGCAACGAAAGGTTCGCTGGCCAAATGCAAAAAGCCAAAGGACGCGCACGGCAAAAATGAGGAAGGCAACAACAACACAAAAGAAAGAAACCAAAAGTACACCTGTGCCAGAAAAAAATAATAATAAAAATAAGAAAAAAAAAGATACAAGAGAACAGTGGGGCTAAAAAATGGCGAAAAAGGCAAGAAAATGACAACGGCGTTGAAGGCAACTGAAATACGCGGCTGCGAGTGTGTTTTCACAAGAGTGTGTGTGTGTGTGTGCGAGTGTACAACAAAACCAACTTGGCAGCATAACTTACAAGCAAAAAAAAAAAATAATAAAAAACAACAAAAACAGCGGCAATAAAAAGCCAGAAGTGAGTGTCCTTTAGCTCATTTTTTGTGCTGTTCGTTTTTTATTATTTTCTGTTTTTTTGCCGCTTCCTGCCTCGCTGACTTGGCCGCTCATTATATAGTCAAAGACCATAATTATGTGTTGAAGTTTGTAGATGTTTAAAGCGACTGAGCGAGCAAGAAAAGGAAAATATAAAAAAATACAAAAAAAGGAGAACAGGAACACGGGAAAACAGAGCCTCCAAGAAATAGGAAACTTTTTTAGCCAGGATATTTCTTTCCAAGAAACTCCCAGAAACACCAGAAACACCTTCTTTCTGTCAATTCAACTAACCAAATTTGTTTTTTTTTTTTCTCTTGCAGCTTTCAGTCAAAGGATTTGAGGAATAAGGATACAAACAACGGAAAATACTTTGGAAAACCTTTAAATCCCTTTCGGCCCACAATCAAAATTTGAAACTAAGCCAACAAAACAAACAAAAAGCATAAAATGAATCAACATAAAATGAATTAATTATAATACACACCAACTTATATGAAATATATACATAAATAATATTATTACTATTAAACGCGCTAATGTTTAATTAATTGTTAAGCCAAGAACCCAAAACAAACAAACAAACGGAAGACAAAGATTTTTAAGCCTACACTTTAAGTACAATTTACTAGACATACAAACAAAAAAATACTTAAATTATTTCAACAAAAGCTGCAACTATTTTTATATCCGAAAACATATTAAGCAAAACGGCGAATTCAATTGAGAAACGAAGCAAAAACCAGAGTACAAAAATCTTTAATCAATTTATATACAAAAAAAGCAAGCAACATAAATAATCAACAGCAAGTAATTAATAAACCTAAATACCAACAACAGCAACAAGAACAACAACAAAGCAAACAAACAAACAACGCATACAAAATACAAATTTTACAAATTACAAATTTACAAGAATTTTTAATAATAAAAAATAAAGTCTGCTAAACAAATTTAAATCAAATATCAAGAATACAAATTTTTGCATAGCTGCCGTTTTACAAACAAAAAAAAGTAAAGTACAAAATACCTAAACCAACAAATCTTACAAGTTTTCAAACCAACCAACAAACAAACAACTTACAAATTTTAAAAGCAAATAAAAACGAACAAGAAATAAAGTAAATTAAAGATACCAATTTAATAAAAGCACTTTACAAAATAATAATCAAATTTTGCATTAATCGTACGTACACCCAAGCAAAGCCAGTGAGTTCAAAAAAACAAACAAGAGTAGCTTCAACTTATACACATAGTTATACAAAACGAATTAAGGTCGAGACATTTAGCCAGAAAAGAACAAGAATTTTAAATAGAAGAACTACCTCAGCATAAGTAGTGAACCGAAAAGTGTACAAAACCATTAAGGACGACGACTCTCTCACACAGTACAAATTGCTAAGGATCTGAGGACAGAAGGACACTGCATAGCCATGCTTAAGCTCGTGCTTAAATGGCGTCTTCAATATTAGCCCAGAGCAGCAGCAGCAGCACAGGCGTTCCTGTAGACTCTGTGGGCAACTTGGCAACCGGAGCAGCCAGTGGTGTTACGGCCACATCGGTGGAGGCCACTGTCTCCAGTTTGCATAATACGCATCTGAATCAATTGAGCAGCTTGAGTCAGCACTATACAACGCCATATCACCATCATCCAACACATCATTACCACCAGCAGCAGCAGCAGCAACAGCAGCAGCAATACCATCAACAGCAGCAGCAGCATCAACACTCCCAGCAGCAGCAGCAGTACTCACAAGAACAGCAGCAACGTTGGGACTACTATGCCAGGCAGCAGCAACAGCAGCAGCAGCAGCAACAGCCAGCGGCCGCCACCAACGGCAACTCAACCAGTAGCTCCAACAACAATCCCAGCAACAACAGCAGCAGCAACAACAGCAACGACAGCAGCAGCAATCCTACGGTTCCAGCCCCCTTGGGCAGCAGCAGCAATGGCAGCAATAATAACCATGCTAGCGTTGCCGCCAGCAATCCTGGCCAGCAGCAGCAGCAGCAGCGGCACACCGATGCCAATGCCCTTTCCGCCGCCTCCGCCGCAGTAGGAAGTCAAGCCAACAACACCAACAATACGAATACCAACAACTCCAATTCCAATTCAAACGGTAGCTATACGCGTCCCTGGGAAATGGAGTCCAAGGATAATGGTCCACAGCAGCAGCAGCAGCCCCAGCAACAGCAGATGAAGAGCGGCTTTGAACCCTTCTCCAAGCTGCCCTCGTTCCAAAGTCAATTCCATGGCTTCAATGAGCTGCTGCCCGATGGAACACCCATGCCAGTGCCCATAGGAGCTGTGCCAGGAGCTGTGCCAGGAGGACCAGTAGCAGTTCCAGGACCCCCAACTGGACCCACCACTATGAGTTCCCTGCAAACGGTGGCCATGTCACCGGCCAGCATTTCTGTGAGCTCGCCGGGCATGATGAGTGTGGGCTCACCGTTGACCCAACTCTCGAGCTTGCAGGCCAGCATTACGCCGCCATCGGCGGGCAGCTTTCCGGCACCACCGCCGCCGAATGCCTTTGCCCACCATCATGCCCTCAATCCGCATCATCATCACAGGACCAGCACTGGGTATCCCTATGGAGAGATACCGCTCTATCCGGGCTTTACGCCGCTGGGCGTGAAGAAGGAGGCCGCCGGATCGGTAACGGGAGGCAGCGACTTTGAGATGCTGCTGAAGAAGGAGGACTTTGATCTCAGCCACAGTGGCGTAGGCGGTGGCCTGATCCACCATCCGTTGCAGCAGCAGCAGCAGCCAGGACACCATCCCATACCGATGGGCATGCACACGCCGACGTCGTATGATGGAAATAATAGCAACACCAGCTATCCGCAGGCGGCGACTGGTGGCAGTGGCAGTGGCAGCCACACACCGCACACCACCAGCCAGCCCACGCCCACCACCACGACACCGGTCAAGGCCGAGAAGCTGCTCCAGTCGCCGATAGCACGGCTGGAGGCCAGAAAGAAAGAAAGGCGGAAACAGCGGCCCAATTCGCTGGAGTCCAGTGCCGAGAGCGAGGCCAGCGGCATGGACGTAGACCCAAGCAATCCTGGCCAAGTGGATGCCGTCTCCAGCACGGCCAACTTCAAGAGTCCGTTGAGTGCTCTGGGAATGGGGGATAGCAACGATGCCAATGCCAGTGGATGTGACAAGCAGGTAGGTGTATAGGTGTCTCTCTCACAGGTGGGGTTGTTGGAAACTTTTAACTGAAAAAATTGAAATTATAAAGATTGATAAAGTAAAGCCTAAAACTCCTAGAACCCTTTGAGAATTTTAAAGATATCGATATATTCATATCATTTTTTCAACAACCCCATCGATAAACGAGCGAAACGGGGGCGAACTGGCAACCGCTGCGATTAACAGGACTACGGTCGTCGCCACCATCTTCCGCCACCCACACTGCCCCCGCCAACCACCGTCCACAACCAATGCACCCACCACCCACTACACCAACACCCCAACCAACATCAACACCAACAACAACATCCGCACAACCACAACCACTCCAACGACAACAACTCCTCTTCCTGCTCTCTCTTTCAGTCAAAGAAGAAGCGCAAGCGGTGCGGCGAATGCGTGGGATGCCAGCGCAAGGACAATTGCGGCGAATGTGCTCCCTGCAGGAACGACAAGAGCCACCAGATCTGCAAGCAACGTCGCTGCGAGAAGCTCACCGAGAAGAAGGTGAGTTCAAGTTTTTTTTTACGATAAGTTAGGTCCCCAGAACTACTTCCCACCGAAAAGCGTGGCCATGTGGAGTATCCCACAGATTCATTCAGGGCGATGCCAGAAGTTACTCAATGAAATTGGAGGTTACTGTGGGATAAAATAGGTGATTTTCTTATAAAAGGATCAAAATAGGAACTACTGAAAATGAAGTAGAATATATTGGTTTATTTAAGGAGATTTTTAGTAGAGTTTATTCTTTGATATCTATTTTTAACTAGGCTCTTTTTCTAGTCATACTTTTCACCTGCATAGTTGCTTTTCCCAGGATATTTGGTAATATTTTAACCACTGTGCCAAAACGGGCAGCTGGAAATCTTATGAAACTGGTTTTGCTACTCCAACTCCTCTCAAGAAACAGAGAGAGCCAGCGGGCAATTCGCATCCACATTCACGTTCACGTTCGCGGTCTTTCGCACCAGCGGTCAGTCACTCAGGATTTATGTCAGCGCAACAGATGTTCCGCAGCCAAGTGCCAAGACAGGCTCTTTCTTCCCGTCTCCAGCTGCCTCGATTTAACTAGTAACCTACAATGAGAGGAGCTGCTTTTGGATGTCTGTGTGTGTGTGTGCCTAAGTGCCGGCATTGCGTACGAGGTGCACTCGAGAGTATCTGCGCTGAGTGATCCGACATCCGCGCATCCACATCCTCCAGATACTCACAGCTCCTTTTCGAAATCACTTAAGATGCCGCTGCCGCAGGCAGAGCGTGTCCTTTTGGAAAGGAAATCAGGTTGCACATGTGTGTGTACAAGAGGACCTCGAACCTTTAGAACCTCGGAACCTCACATCTTGCTTCTCAAATTGCGCTGCATGTCGTCACTCGAATCTGCGGGATTGGTTTGGTTTCCAAGTGAAGTGGAAGTTCGGGTACAAGTTCAATGGCCCAAGGACCACTAAGGAGTTTCAAGTGATCAGTAACCAAAGATACTAGCAGGGGATGCTTGAGAAAAGCATCTTAATTTTATAGATTTTTAGGGGAACTATTGGAATTTAGGAGGTTTTAATTAACAAAGAGATTGAAATAGATTTTATAAGGATTTTTGGAGGAATTAAAGGAAGTCTTGATCTTAATTTTAACAGAATTTATTTCTATAATCCGAAAAATTTTACCAAAAATCTCTGTAAAATGTATACAAGGATTGTTTATATTTATTTTATAATATTGTTTACTCTTCTACATAATTTTCCCTGGCCTTGTCCTAATTCTCCCTTTCCTGTTTGCCAAATCTTAAAACCCACTCGTAATACTTGAGGTATTTCTAGATTATTTCCCGTATTGACAGAGACACTACCATATTGCTTCGATATAATATTATTTCTTCAAATACAAATACAGACGTCCAAGACCAAATGCAGAAAATGCCATATATATAAAATAAGAACAACAATAAAAATAACGATAATAACGAAAACGAGGCAACGAAAACAACAATAAAAGGAGCAGATGTTCACAAGTTACAAACGCGGCTTTTGATCGCACACACACACACACACACATACTAGCAAACAAAGACGGCACACACAGATACTATGCCATATTGTATCTGTATCTGCAGACAGACAGAGATAAATAAATAAGCGAGTGCTCGCCGCGTTGTGTCTCTCTGTCTCTCGCGATCAGCGGTCTGCAAACAGGAAACAAAAAAAAAAGAAGAGAATATATGAGCCTGGAAAGAGAAGGAATATGTCCGGAGCGAAAGAGAGGGGACGAGAGCGGACAATTAAGGTTGACAGGAGCGAGAGGAGCGCTACACAAAAGGCCGTCAAACGAGAAAATGGCACGCAGAGATCGGCTCTACCGCTTCAGAAAAAAAAACATACAAAATACAGACGGCACACATAGATAAAGTTGTAAATTTCGCAGTTTCACCGCGAGACGAGAGCCAGCAACAGTTTGACATGTCAATATGGACGGGTTGTATCTACAAGATACGAGTCAAGATAGCATAGCTACAGCTCCCTCTCTCCTTCTGGACAATTGACGCTTTAGTTTTATATCTTCCTTTGCTTTATCATCGCCATCCGCAACATCATTATCAGGGTTTTCATTGTCCAACTGCCTCACATGTTGGCTGTGCGCCACTGGGACACTATGTCACTGGGTTTGGGTTTTATCGAGGGGTTATTATCGCTTAGGGAAACTTGGGTTTTATATATGAGAAAGTTTGGGTAGATTAGGTTACAAGGTTACAAGAATTATATTTAAAACACTTTTAAACAAGAGGAATCATTAAAAAAAAAAATTAAAAGATTAGTTTCTCAATTTTTAATAATATCTTCTACTTCCCTAAAAAATTTCCCTTGCTGTCTAGTGTAAAAATGAAATTACTCATGTACTCATATATTTATGCCTTTGTCCCTGGACTTTATAATGACAATGTTTTCGCGGGCTTTCCTTCTTTTAGTTTTTTTCTTTAGCTTTAACTGGTAAATTCTGCTTCTGTTCCTCAGCTAAATTTCACAGCTGGTCCTGTCCCTCCATTCGATTCATTCAGAGATTCATTCCAGACTCGATGACTATAAATTTCAAAGGTGAATTATTTCATTCTTGAGTTTCGCATTGAATTCGGATCAGTGCACCTTGGGGTATTCTCATCTCTTGAGCAAATATCTCATTATTTAAGCTAAACTTTAAGTTGGGTTTCGGCCCTCCTCCTGGCTTTTTAATATTTTTTTTTTTTGTAAGTAATTTTCAGTGTTTTTTTACTTTCACAAATCAGCTGAAAAGACCTTCGGGCGCAGTCATTAAGTTGGCTATTTGAATTGCCGGGCAAACTCACTCCCACCTCAGTTTTTCCATCGTTCAGTAAAAAAAAAAAATGAGGGGGAAAAAAGAGAAAAAATATATCTGGACAGGCCTATCTAAGAGGATATTTCCTGTGTTGCTCAATTTGTCTGGGGTTTTTCTTTCCTCAGCCTCGGCTGGCTTTCTTTAAACATGCAGTTTTTCTTAGGAATTTTCTCATTAAAATTTGAACATTTTTTTCACGTTTTTTTTTTATATATATATATTTTTTTTTTCTACAAATAAAAGAAAATCAACAACAAGACGAGGCAAATATTAAAAGTGTCTGGGAGTGAAAGGAAAGTTGGGTTGGAATCAACCCCGAAAGTCCATTTGGAGTCTGGGAGTTTGAGTGATTGACTTCATTGGGTTGTCCAAGGAAGCTATTCAGAGAAGAGTCCTCTTCCTTGCTCGTATTTTTCTTATTTTCATTTCACGTCTCGGTCCAACTTCATTGAGCCAAATGCACTGAAGTCACTAAAAACTAACAGCCAAGCCATAACAACTTAAAGGTTTCTCTCGCCTCATGCATACGAAATGCATATGTTCATAAGCACAGGCGAATCACTCCCCGTATCCTTATCCCGGGGTCCTTCTTTGGGCCAGGACGAGTGCATTGCTCCTGCGGGAAGCCACTCTTTCTCTCTTCCTCTCTCTCTCCCTCGTGACACACTCTCGGCAAACAACACACAAGAAACAAAGTGTGGGAGAGTGGGTAAACACGAGGGCTCTTGCCAAGGTGGCCAATGCACTGGAAGGAAATAATAATAAATGGGTAATAAATGTTAATAAAAATTAAGAGGATTAAATTTTTCATATTAAATTTGAATTACAGATATTTCAAATATAGAATTTCATTAAGTTTAACTTTTAAAGATTTAATATAAATCTGTTTTTAATTAAGTGTTTCTCCTTGTGCTACGTTTTTGGCACGTTGGCTTGCCTGCTCCAGGAAAACAGGATAATACTCACACACACACACACACACACAGGATACTTGAGCCACAACTGCATTGCATGGTGGCAATGAGGATGGCTATGATGATGATGACGTTGCCGATAATGCTCTCGGCTGGTCTTCATTATGAGCATGTTATGTTGTGCAATCTGATACTCGGCCATCGTGGTCGTGCTCCTGGGATATCCAGTTGCAGTTGGGCATCCTCTTTCATCCTGCCAGTGTCCGCCCTCCCCTTTCACCTTTTGCTATCTCTTTTGCTTGCTTTTTCCTCTTTTTTTTTTTGTTTTGTGGGCCAAAAAACTGAAACTGAAAAATATGTTGTCTTTTGGTTAATTGTCGCTCTTGGCCAGGCACACGACTGGAAGTTGTCCTCCCTCTCTATCTCTTTCGTTCCTGGTTTGGTATTCAGCCCATCCTTGTCTTCAATCATTCAATTTATAGGCAGCAATACGTGCGTTTGTCATTCGATAATTCCCAAAAGATGCTGCCAGGCATGCCTCCCATTTGCTCAACCAAAATTCAGTTTGAGTTTGGGCTCGGGTTTGGCGAGTTCAATGCTCTCTGTGAGCAGTCGATGGCCAGATAAAGTTTTTGTTTTAGGTTTCAGATGGATTTACACCGAAAGAAAATCATGTCAATTGTTACTAATTTATTTTCTTAAGAAAAGTAAACTAAAATGGCTTCAAGGCTTGAGATTCCTGATACATTTTCTTTTCATCAATAAATCCCAAAAAATATCTCCTTATTAATTCCTGTGTATCTCCCAGCTCGTGTCCAGTGGCCTGGCCACAAAATCGGATTGAAAATTCCTGGCAGCACCCGTTGTTTTATTTCCTCCACGGAGGAGGATTGCATATTCATCTGTTGCAGGGAGCACAAACTAGTAATCGCATTCGTAGTCGTACATCTGCAGCTCCTCTCAGTCTCTATTTCGGTTGCCTGCACATCTGTTCGCATTGTATATATCGAATCCTAAGCCAGATCCTGGAGTAAAACTTAAGCCCTCTGCCATACACACATGCACGCACGCACGCAGGCATCGTCCTTTTGAGACAAGGACCAGGCACGAACAACAAATGGAATTGATAAATGATTTTTCTATATTATTTTACTCGTATTTTAAGCCGCTTAGGCCGGGATTTGTGTGTGCGTGTGAGTGCGTCTTTTAATTGCCAGAATTTAATTCATAACTTTAAAAACCATAATTTAATATTTTTGCATTTGCTTTTATCATTTTAATGGGTTCTCCTCCAGCCACTGCTGCTGCTGATGATGTTGGGCACGCAAATTGCCGCCATGACAGCCAATTAGTGGGCTTATTTTTTGATAGCCCGCGCCAGTCGCTATATACATAGTATATGGTTCATATATATAGGGTTTTATTCCCTGCCAGCCTCCTCCATTTTTGCATTGAGTAATTTTTTGGTTGGCACCCCCACCTCCGCTTCAGCCCCTCAGATTTATTTTATTTTGTAATTATTGCTAATTATTTTATGCATCAGAGCTTATTTGTATTTACAGTTGATTTATTTTCATTTTTCTATATTTTTTTCTACTTGCAGGAACCCAAAGCCAAAACCGTATGTATACACATTCATATATAATTATATTTGCATTTATGGGGGTTTTAAATAATTATTTTTAAATAATTATGGGGTAAATATATACACATAAATATTTTATATTTTTAATTACATTTAATCTGTTTAATAAAGGGGGATATTCTTAAATTGCATTAATAGGATTTCACAAGGCTTTCAAGTTTTTATATTAAAATGTTAAGAGAGAGTATTATAATTCAAGGTTTTTTAAGTTAAGAAAGGAATTATTTAATAATCTCCCTGAAAAGTTCCAAGAAAAACTATATTTGTGGCATTAAAATATATATTATTTAGTGGTAATTTTATTTAGAAAAGATTTTCACACCCAATAATTTCCTTTCTGAGCAAAATCCTTCCCCTTTCTGATTACAATTTGTGGCTAGCTTCCTCTTTAATTGTAATTTTTAATAGTTAATGTGAACATTAGGACGTTAGCCTTGCACAATTTCCATTGTTTACACTGCAGATACAAAGATACAATTGTATCTTTTTATCTATGACGGTGCGCCGGCAGATTTTGTGTGGTAGTTTTTGGTGCTCTTTTTTTTTACCAGCAGCAACTTTTATTTTTTTTTTTTTTGTTCTGTTGTCTCCGCATAAATTAAATAATAAAATGCTCGAGAGTGTGTCTGTGTCTGCGCAATTGAATGCCTTTGTTGGTGTATTTATGAAACAGATTTGCTGCTCATGTGGATGGATGATGATGGAATGGGTATGGTTAGGGGTATGGGAATGGGATGGTCTGGGACTGGGTTGGTTGGGTTGATCTGATGCTGGACTAGTGCCTCTGCTTGGTGGTGGTTCTTTGCTGCTGCTGCTGCTGATGATGACAATCATCAGCCAGGCCGCAGCAGCAGTGTGCACACATTTATATAAATCTGTGCTGATCGTAAAGCGTTGTTAAATTTTAATAAATAAATGTTCACATCCTTGTTAAGTTTGCCAGCAGCGGGCAAAACATTTGCATTGATTGCACTAAAGCACAGAAAACGAGGAGAAAATAGTGAAAAAAAAGAGACAGGGAGAGAGAGTAAACGAGACAAGTTGCATGCAAATTAATGCTATATAATTACGCAGCGAACACGCTGCGTATACTTGATGACAATTTGCATGCGAACAAGGCGAGGGAAAAAAAACGTCCACAAGTATCCTTGTAAGAGTCAAAGGACAAAACTACCGCATAGCAATACATTTTCCCCCTCGATTTTGCAACTAGAGATGTGGTTTTTGAAACGATATAATATATCGTTTTGATGAGGTTTTATAAATTAAAATTAATACAAATATATGTAAAGGTTTAGATAGTGGTTTTCTGATTTTTCTTAAAATGAATTCAATATCATATCAATATGTACAATAATTTATACCACACTTATTGATATTAATTTATTTAATTTCTATATATTAGTTTGCTATTTTAATTCCCCCCTTTCCACCTCTATTTCACACCTTTATTCCCCCGTTAATGAGTGCAAAATCAGTCCGCTTTAATGAGATAACAAATCCATTTTCGTAATGAGGCCCAGAGAGTGGGTGATTGTTGAAGCATTAAGTCAAGATCCTTTTTTGCGGGGCCTGGGCAGGTGCAATGTAGCAATTAAGCAATTTGTTCCTGTTATTGTTTATTAATAAACAAACAACAAAGCACCGAGACACCGAGACCGAACTCTGGCGCTAATTGCCACAGCAACCAGTCGGAAAAACAGGGAAAACAAAACCAGAGAGAGAGAGAGAGAGAGACCTCTGTTAGAGCTCAAATAGATCAAGGATACGACTGCACATGCAGAGTCCTAGGAGCGTGCAATCCACGGAACCCTTTTTTTCTATTTTTGAAGTGCATTTCACCCAGTCCCAAGCCCCGGGAACCCTCGGTACTTTTCACTGCCCGCTGGCTCAATTTAAATACCAGCGATGCATGGCCAAAAAGGGGTAAATGGTACATGAAAAGAAATAGTTATTTACATTAAAAAAAATATAAATAATTTAGAAATTAAATAGAAAACATAAATTTATATAATTTTTAATATAAAACTTGAAGAAAATGCTCAAAAACGATCTTATAATAATATTTCTTTGGAACTTCAATAAAGAAATTCTTTTTGAATATTTTCTTTAAGTGCACAACTGCTGTTCATGTGTATCTGTGTGTGTGCAAGGTGCAATTGCAGTGCATTTTTCAGCTTGACCGACTCGTCGTCGTCGTCGTCGTTGCTGTTGGACCCTTTTCACAGCTTTTTCCAGCTTATTCCTAACTGCGCGACAAACTAAGCAAATTCGCACCCCAAGCAGGAGGCACAAAACTGGCTGGAAAATGAGGGCCATGTCGGAAAGGGGAGGAGTCGAGGAAGCGGTTGTCATTTAGTCCAGTTTCCGAGGGGTTAAATGCAGCCGTAGGCCACAGGACAGACACACACACACACCGAAGCGAGAATACTTAACTCAGAGGGTCAGCAGGTTACAAAACTTACTAATTGCTAGAAGGCCTTTGGCACAAAATGCTAGAAAAAGTCAGCTAAATGGGGCACTAAACGGGGTTGAAGCTTTACGTAATTATCACAGTCGATTGAGTAGAGAAATTATATATATTTATTAAATAATTAAGCTGAAGGTATGACTTTCTTAAATGATTTGTGGGGGGGAAATAATAAGTTTTAATTGGTTATTTACAAAGGAAAGGTTTAAAAAGAGTTTTGTATTTAATATTACCTTAAAAATACTTGTAAGAAAATTATCTAGAGTTCTTGATTTTTTCTCAATTTTTTGTTATCCCTGAAAATATGAATGTAGAACATTTCCTGTATTGCCTGCCAATTTTGTCGCTTCCTGCTCTCTGCTGCCGCATTCCTGTTAGCTGATATTCCCTTTTTTCCGTTCTAAATCCGTTTAAGTCAAGTGAATCAAAAAATACAGAAAAAAAGGAGAAGAAAATCACAAAATATATGTATGAAAAGTAAGGCCAAAAAGCCTGACTTACAATTTCAATTTCCAAATGTTTCGCACAGAGAAAGTTGTTGCTCGATGTTCTTTTTTTTCATTTTTTCACTTTTTGCTTTGCTTTATTTTGCTTATTTTCTTGTGCTTTGCTTACAAAGTGCCTATCAAGCTGAAACAACAACAAAATATATGGAATGATTGCATTTTGACAACAACAAACATACATACACACACACAGAGAAATTCGGGAAATGGGAAATGGAAAACTCTCTGGCATATTGTTACAAGCGGGAGTAGCAGGCACTTGCCAAATCGATTTTTGATTATTTTTGCTTATCATTCTGTTTGCTCCTTCCTTTCTCCCGCTTTGCCAGGACTCAGGACTCCGTAAACCCTCCTCCTCCTCCTCCTCCAACAAGGAACCGCCGTAAAGTCAATTTAATTTTCTTTAAATATTATTTGAGACAATTTTGCCTGCATTACACACAGAAAGTGTGGAATAACATTTTTTTGTTCGCTTGCCAGAGTTTATTTTATCATGTTTACTTTCAATAACTTTCATATAAGCCCCCACTCCGCCTCCTTTGAAAATTTCCATTCCGCGCATAAACCTGGCAAACAACAACAGGAAAAAGATGGAAAAAATATGTGAGAAAACAAATTTCAGTTCGTTTGCTATTTATTTTATTTATAGCTGAGAGCCTTTTTTGCATTTGGCGGACTTTTGTTTGTCGGCGCAAATTGAAAAATATAATTGAAACAATAAATTGTTTTCTGGAAAAGAGTTGCCAGGGATCTCTCAGAGAGAATTGTGTGCGCAATTTTTTTGGGTTTTTGTTATCCCTGCCAGCGAGTGGAAAAAATCAATTTAATTTCAGGTTTTTTTCCACGACTCATTGTTGCTGCCTCCGCAGCTAACAACTAAAAGTTCGTCTCAGTTCTCTGACCAAAGTCAAGTCATTTGCCAAAGTACGAAAGTACGAAAGTCCTGCCGCGCATAAACATCCCCTAAAACGTGTGGGGGTGGTTTGCAGTCAAGACAGCGAGAAGCAAAAGAAACGCAAAAAGAAAAAAATTAAAGAAATGTTTTTCAACAGCAACAACAACAACGTTAGCAACAACACAAAAAAATGTATAAATAAAATAAAGTAAAAACTCTACAGAATCAGCAGGAACAGCAGCAGTGGCAGCAGCAACAACAATAAGCGGTACGTGCAACACGAAATGCGCTAAAAAGAATTTCACAGCACGTAGCTGGCAAGTACACAGGGAAAAATGGGGATAAGGAGGTGCTTAAAAATAGCAGGGACTCTGGGAATATTACTTAATATTAGAAATAAAGTATAGGTGATAGGGTTTGTTTGAGCCTGGCTTAATCCAAAATCCTGAAAATAATCGTGTTTGTTTTAAGAAAATGAAAAAAGGTTATGAAATAGTTAGTCGTTAAAATTTTAAAAAATATATCAAAGAAATTAAATAAAAGGGAAATACAACAACCACAAATTGTTCTAAGTTGTTTAGCAATTTATAAATTCTATCTAAGGATTTACCTTATTTTGTATACTTTCTTAGCTGTGTTCTCTTGAAAATATACTCCTCCTTCTATAAATTCCTTTTAATCACAATTAATTAACATGAAAAACATTTCGAAAAACACCTTAAATTTCAAGCCTCATTAGGATCTCAAAAATGCATATTTATTTTTCATATTTTTCCCGTGCATTGGCTAAACTTTTAGCAGGACTTTGCACTTAGCCCGCGCCTGGGGTGTGCGTATGTCCGTGTGATATCAAACAATTTAGCGCATTGCATTACAAGTTGCTGCCGCAAAAAAAAAAATGTTAAAGAGGAAAAAAAAAAGTTGCAATGCAAGTTTTCTAATTGCAATGGCGCCCCCAAAGGATATCAGGAGGAGTGCAGATCAGGAGGGGAGGAAGTGCCAAAGGGGTTGCGAAAAAAGGGGGTTAAATCTATGGGGAAATGCTGCTGGCACGCACTCATAAAGTGTTGTTGTTGTTGTTGTTGCTGTTGCTGTTCATCAGCTA